CGATAGCGTATTGACCTCCATTTTCTCAACTCGTTGCGATCGAGCGAGTTGGTGAGCTAAAGTCGCGTTGCTGGTCACGGTTACAATCTATTGCCTCGACTGCTAGTTGAAGTGCATATTACAGTACATCACAGTTGTGGAGTTGCTCTCAAAGTTCCAGTGACGTGAAGCTGACAAAGGTTGACATCAAAGAAGGTTCCGTTGCCGGACTTGAACCCGTGCGAAGAGAATCAATCATCAACACTTGGTACAACGAGCGGTCTGGCAGACACAACAGTGCGTCATAACAGTCTACCACAACAGTCCGTCTCACCATGCAAAATCATTGGAACACGTACTTGTTCTCGCGCATAAGCGGATATGAACGAGCTATCGACAGATGAAAGAAGGAATTGGCCAATGTGGGATTCGAACCCACGCCCTTTCGGACCAGTGCCTAAAACTGGCGCCTTAGACCGCTCGGCCAATTGACCACCACACATAATCACAACCCCCCACCTACATACAAAGCGCAACACAAATCAGACCACACCACAATATCAAATATACGATCAACATACACAAACAGTACGCACACACAGCTACCCGTCTTGTTAATTTGCCTCTGCTATCATTTTTGTTTCTGCTTGCGGTGACAGAAGTCGGGCTGATTGACGGACTATTATTGCCAGTGCTCGCGACATCACAGAAACGTCCCGATGCTGTAATCAAAGATCACTGACCGCGATAAAGCTCTCACATAACAAACATTGAAGCATTGTCGGAGGCCAACGCACATAAGCGATTGCTCGGACGTGACGATAGCGTATTGACCTCCATTTTCTCAACTCGTTGCGATCGAGCGAGTTGGTGAGCTAAAGTCGCGTTGCTGGTCACGGTTACAATCTATTGCCTCGACTGGTTGAAGTGCATATTACAGTACATCACAGTTGTGGAGTTGCTCTCAAAGTTCCAGTGACGTGAAGCTGACAAAGGTTGACATCAAAGAAGGTTCCGTTGCCGGACTTGAACCCGTGCGAAGAGAATCAATCATCAACACTTGGTACAACGAGCGGTCTGGCAGACACAACAGTGCGTCATAACAGTCTACCACAACAGTCCGTCTCACCATGCAAAATCATTGGAACACGTACTTGTTCTCGCGCATAAGCGGATATGAACGAGCTATCGACAGATGAAAGAAGGAATTGGCCAATGTGGGATTCGAACCCACGCCCTTTCGGACCAGTGCCTAAAACTGGCGCCTTAGACCGCTCGGCCAATTGACCACCACACATGATCACAACCCCCACCTACATACAAAGCGCAACACAAATCAGACCACACCACAATATCAAATATACGATCAACATACACAAACAGTACGCACACACAGCTACCCGTCTTGTTAATTTGCCTCTGCTATCATTTTGTTTCTGCTTGCGGTGACAGAAGTCGGGCTGATTGACGGACTATTATTGCCAGTGCTCGCGACATCACAGAAACGTCCCGATGCTGTAATCAAAGATCACTGACCGCGATAAAGCTCTCACATAACAAACATTGAAGCATTGTCGGAGGCCAACGCACATAAGCGATTGCTCGGACGTGACGATAGCGTATTGACCTCCATTTTCTCAACTCGTTGCGATCGAGCGAGTTGGTGAGCTAAAGTCGCGTTGCTGGTCACGGTTACAATCTATTGCCTCGACTGAGTTGAAGTGCATATTACAGTACATCACAGTTGTGGAGTTGCTCTCAAAGTTCCAGTGACGTGAAGCTGACAAAGGTTGACATCAAAGAAGGTTCCGTTGCCGGACTTGGACCCGTGCGAAGAGAATCAATCATCAACACTTGGTACAACGAGCGGTCTGGCAGACACAACAGTGCGTCATAACAGTCTACCACAACAGTCCGTCTCACCATGCAAAATCATTGGAACACGTACTTGTTCTCGCGCATAAGCGGATATGAACGAGCTATCGACAGATGAAAGAAGGAATTGGCCAATGTGGGATTCGAACCCACGCCCTTTCGGACCAGTGCCTAAAACTGGCGCCTTAGACCGCTCGGCCAATTGACCACCACACATGATCACAACCCCCCACCTACATACAAAGCGCAACACAAATCAGACCACACCACAATATCAAATATACGATCAACATACACAAACAGTACGCACACACAGCTACCCGTCTTGTTAATTTGCCTCTGCTATCATTTTTGTTTCTGCTTGCGGTGACAGAAGTCGGGCTGATTGACGGACTATTATTGCCAGTGCTCGCGACATCACAGAAACGTCCCGATGCTGTAATCAAAGATCACTGACCGCGATAAAGCTCTCACATAACAAACATTGAAGCATTGTCGGAGGCCAACGCACATAAGCGATTGCTCGGACGTGACGATAGCGTATTGACCTCCATTTTCTCAACTCGTTGCGATCGAGCGAGTTGGTGAGCTAAAGTCGCGTTGCTGGTCACGGTTACAATCTATTGCCTCGACTGGTTGAAGTGCATATTACAGTACATCACAGTTGTGGAGTTGCTCTCAAAGTTCCAGTGACGTGAAGCTGACAAAGGTTGACATCAAAGAAGGTTCCGTTGCCGGACTTGAACCCGTGCGAAGAGAATCAATCATCAACACTTGGTACAACGAGCGGTCTGGCAGACACAACAGTGCGTCATAACAGTCTACCACAACAGTCCGTCTCACCATGCAAAATCATTGGAACACGTACTTGTTCTCGCGCATAAGCGGATATGAACGAGCTATCGACAGATGAAAGAAGGAATTGGCCAATGTGGGATTCGAACCCACGCCCTTTCGGACCAGTGCCTAAAACTGGCGCCTTAGACCGCTCGGCCAATTGACCACCACACATGATCACAACCCCCCACCTACATACAAAACGCAACACAAATCAGACCACACCACAATATCAAATATACGATCAACATACACAAACAGTACGCACACACAGCTACCCGTCTTGTTAATTTGCCTCTGCTATCATTTTGTTTCTGCTTGCGGTGACAGAAGTCGGGCTGATTGACGGACTATTATTGCCAGTGCTCGCGACATCACAGAAACGTCCCGATGCTGTAATCAAAGATCACTGACCGCGATAAAGCTCTCACATAACAAACATTGAAGCATTGTCGGAGGCCAACGCACATAAGCGATTGCTCGGACGTGACGATAGCGTATTGACCTCCATTTTCTCAACTCGTTGCGATCGAGCGAGTTGGTGAGCTAAAGTCGCGTTGCTGGTCACGGTTACAATCTATTGCCTCGACTGACTAGTTGAAGTGCATATTACAGTACATCACAGTTGTGGAGTTGCTCTCAAAGTTCCAGTGACGTGAAGCTGACAAAGGTTGACATCAAAGAAGGTTCCGTTGCCGGACTTGAACCCGTGCGAAGAGAATCAATCATCAACACTTGGTACAACGAGCGGTCTGGCAGACACAACAGTGCGTCATAACAGTCTACCACAACAGTCCGTCTCACCATGCAAAATCATTGGAACACGTACTTGTTCTCGCGCATAAGCGGATATGAACGAGCTATCGACAGATGAAAGAAGGAATTGGCCAATGTGGGATTCGAACCCACGCCCTTTCGGACCAGTGCCTTAAACTGGCGCCTTAGACCGCTCGGCCAATTGACCACCACACATGATCACAACCCCCACCTACACGCAAAACGCAACACAAATCAGACCACACCACAATATCAAATATACGATCAACATACACAAACAGTACGCACACACAGCTACCCGTCTTGTTAATTTGCCTCTGCTATCATTTTTGTTTCTGCTTGCGGTGACAGAAGTCGGGCTGATTGACGGACTATTATTGCCAGTGCTCGCGACATCACAGAAACGTCCCGATGCTGTAATCAAAGATCACTGACCGCGATAAAGCTCTCACATAACAAACATTGAAGCATTGTCGGAGGCCAACGCACATAAGCGATTGCTCGGACGTGACGATAGCGTATTGACCTCCATTTTCTCAACTCGTTGCGATCGAGCGAGTTGGTGAGCTAAAGTCGCGTTGCTGGTCACGGTTACAATCTATTGCCTCGACTGGTTGAAGTGCATATTACAGTACATCACAGTTGTGGAGTTGCTCTCAAAGTTCCAGTGACGTGAAGCTGACAAAGGTTGACATCAAAGAAGGTTCCGTTGCCGGACTTGGACCCGTGCGAAGAGAATCAATCATCAACACTTGGTACAACGAGCGGTCTGGCAGACACAACAGTGCGTCATAACAGTCTACCACAACAGTCCGTCTCACCATGCAAAATCATTGGAACACGTACTTGTTCTCGCGCATAAGCGGATATGAACGAGCTATCGACAGATGAAAGAAGGAATTGGCCAATGTGGGATTCGAACCCACGCCCTTTCGGACCAGTGCCTTAAACTGGCGCCTTAGACCGCTCGGCCAATTGACCACCACACATAATCACAACCCCCCACCTACATACAAAGCGCAACACAAATCAGACCACACCACAATATCAAATATACGATCAACATACACAAACAGTACGCACACACAGCTACCCGTCTTGTTAATTTGCCTCTGCTATCATTTTGTTTCTGCTTGCGGTGACAGAAGTCGGGCTGATTGACGGACTATTATTGCCAGTGCTCGCGACATCACAGAAACGTCCCGATGCTGTAATCAAAGATCACTGACCGCGATAAAGCTCTCACATAACAAACATTGAAGCATTGTCGGAGGCCAACGCACATAAGCGATTGCTCGGACGTGACGATAGCGTATTGACCTCCATTTTCTCAACTCGTTGCGATCGAGCGAGTTGGTGAGCTAAAGTCGCGTTGCTGGTCACGGTTACAATCTATTGCCTCGACTGGTTGAAGTGCATATTACAGTACATCACAGTTGTGGAGTTGCTCTCAAAGTTCCAGTGACGTGAAGCTGACAAAGGTTGACATCAAAGAAGGTTCCGTTGCCGGACTTGAACCCGTGCGAAGAGAATCAATCATCAACACTTGGTACAACGAGCGGTCTGGCAGACACAACAGTGCGTCATAACAGTCTACCACAACAGTCCGTCTCACCATGCAAAATCATTGGAACACGTACTTGTTCTCGCGCATAAGCGGATATGAACGAGCTATCGACAGATGAAAGAAGGAATTGGCCAATGTGGGATTCGAACCCACGCCCTTTCGGACCAGTGCCTTAAACTGGCGCCTTAGACCGCTCGGCCAATTGACCACCACACATAACCACAACCCCCACCTACACGCAAAACGCAACACAAATCAGACCACACCACAATATCAAATATACGATCAACATACACAAACAGTACGCACACACAGCTACCCGTCTTGTTAATTTGCCTCTGCTATCATTTTGTTTCTGCTTGCGGTGACAGAAGTCGGGCTGATTGACGGACTATTATTGCCAGTGCTCGCGACATCACAGAAACGTCCCGATGCTGTAATCAAAGATCACTGACCGCGATAAAGCTCTCACATAACAAACATTGAAGCATTGTCGGAGGCCAACGCACATAAGCGATTGCTCGGACGTGACGATAGCGTATTGACCTCCATTTTCTCAACTCGTTGCGATCGAGCGAGTTGGTGAGCTAAAGTCGCGTTGCTGGTCACGGTTACAATCTATTGCCTCGACTGGTTGAAGTGCATATTACAGTACATCACAGTTGTGGAGTTGCTCTCAAAGTTCCAGTGACGTGAAGCTGACAAAGGTTGACATCAAAGAAGGTTCCGTTGCCGGACTTGAACCCGTGCGAAGAGAATCAATCATCAACACTTGGTACAACGAGCGGTCTGGCAGACACAACAGTGCGTCATAACAGTCTACCACAACAGTCCGTCTCACCATGCAAAATCATTGGAACACGTACTTGTTCTCGCGCATAAGCGGATATGAACGAGCTATCGACAGATGAAAGAAGGAATTGGCCAATGTGGGATTCGAACCCACGCCCTTTCGGACCAGTGCCTAAAACTGGCGCCTTAGACCGCTCGGCCAATTGACCACCACACATAATCACAACCCCCACCTACATACAAAGCGCAACACAAATCAGACCACACCACAATATCAAATATACGATCAACATACACAAACAGTACGCACACACAGCTACCCGTCTTGTTAATTTGCCTCTGCTATCATTTTGTTTCTGCTTGCGGTGACAGAAGTCGGGCTGATTGACGGACTATTATTGCCAGTGCTCGCGACATCACAGAAACGTCCCGATGCTGTAATCAAAGATCACTGACCGCGATAAAGCTCTCACATAACAAACATTGAAGCATTGTCGGAGGCCAACGCACATAAGCGATTGCTCGGACGTGACGATAGCGTATTGACCTCCATTTTCTCAACTCGTTGCGATCGAGCGAGTTGGTGAGCTAAAGTCGCGTTGCTGGTCACGGTTACAATCTATTGCCTCGACTGGTTGAAGTGCATATTACAGTACATCACAGTTGTGGAGTTGCTCTCAAAGTTCCAGTGACGTGAAGCTGACAAAGGTTGACATCAAAGAAGGTTCCGTTGCCGGACTTGAACCCGTGCGAAGAGAATCAATCATCAACACTTGGTACAACGAGCGGTCTGGCAGACACAACAGTGCGTCATAACAGTCTACCACAACAGTCCGTCTCACCATGCAAAATCATTGGAACACGTACTTGTTCTCGCGCATAAGCGGATATGAACGAGCTATCGACAGATGAAAGAAGGAATTGGCCAATGTGGGATTCGAACCCACGCCCTTTCGGACCAGTGCCTAAAACTGGCGCCTTAGACCGCTCGGCCAATTGACCACCACACATAATCACAACCCCCCACCTACATACAAAACGCAACACAAATCAGACCACACCACAATATCAAATATACGATCAACATACACAAACAGTACGCACACACAGCTACCCGTCTTGTTAATTTGCCTCTGCTATCATTTTTGTTTCTGCTTGCGGTGACAGAAGTCGGGCTGATTGACGGACTATTATTGCCAGTGCTCGCGACATCACAGAAACGTCCCGATGCTGTAATCAAAGATCACTGACCGCGATAAAGCTCTCACATAACAAACATTGAAGCATTGTCGGAGGCCAACGCACATAAGCGATTGCTCGGACGTGACGATAGCGTATTGACCTCCATTTTCTCAACTCGTTGCGATCGAGCGAGTTGGTGAGCTAAAGTCGCGTTGCTGGTCACGGTTACAATCTATTGCCTCGACTGGTTGAAGTGCATATTACAGTACATCACAGTTGTGGAGTTGCTCTCAAAGTTCCAGTGACGTGAAGCTGACAAAGGTTGACATCAAAGAAGGTTCCGTTGCCGGACTTGAACCCGTGCGAAGAGAATCAATCATCAACACTTGGTACAACGAGCGGTCTGGCAGACACAACAGTGCGTCATAACAGTCTACCACAACAGTCCGTCTCACCATGCAAAATCATTGGAACACGTACTTGTTCTCGCGCATAAGCGGATATGAACGAGCTATCGACAGATGAAAGAAGGAATTGGCCAATGTGGGATTCGAACCCACGCCCTTTCGGACCAGTGCCTAAAACTGGCGCCTTAGACCGCTCGGCCAATTGACCACCACACATAATCACAACCCCCCACCTACACGCAAAACGCAACACAAATCAGACCACACCACAATATCAAATATACGATCAACATACACAAACAGTACGCACACACAGCTACCCGTCTTGTTAATTTGCCTCTGCTATCATTTTGTTTCTGCTTGCGGTGACAGAAGTCGGGCTGATTGACGGACTATTATTGCCAGTGCTCGCGACATCACAGAAACGTCCCGATGCTGTAATCAAAGATCACTGACCGCGATAAAGCTCTCACATAACAAACATTGAAGCATTGTCGGAGGCCAACGCACATAAGCGATTGCTCGGACGTGACGATAGCGTATTGACCTCCATTTTCTCAACTCGTTGCGATCGAGCGAGTTGGTGAGCTAAAGTCGCGTTGCTGGTCACGGTTACAATCTATTGCCTCGACTGGTTGAAGTGCATATTACAGTACATCACAGTTGTGGAGTTGCTCTCAAAGTTCCAGTGACGTGAAGCTGACAAAGGTTGACATCAAAGAAGGTTCCGTTGCCGGACTTGAACCCGTGCGAAGAGAATCAATCATCAACACTTGGTACAACGAGCGGTCTGGCAGACACAACAGTGCGTCATAACAGTCTACCACAACAGTCCGTCTCACCATGCAAAATCATTGGAACACGTACTTGTTCTCGCGCATAAGCGGATATGAACGAGCTATCGACAGATGAAAGAAGGAATTGGCCAATGTGGGATTCGAACCCACGCCCTTTCGGACCAGTGCCTAAAACTGGCGCCTTAGACCGCTCGGCCAATTGACCACCACACATAATCACAACCCCCCACCTACATACAAAGCGCAACACAAATCAGACCACACCACAATATCAAATATACGATCAACATACACAAACAGTACGCACACACAGCTACCCGTCTTGTTAATTTGCCTCTGCTATCATTTTTGTTTCTGCTTGCGGTGACAGAAGTCGGGCTGATTGACGGACTATTATTGCCAGTGCTCGCGACATCACAGAAACGTCCCGATGCTGTAATCAAAGATCACTGACCGCGATAAAGCTCTCACATAACAAACATTGAAGCATTGTCGGAGGCCAACGCACATAAGCGATTGCTCGGACGTGACGATAGCGTATTGACCTCCATTTTCTCAACTCGTTGCGATCGAGCGAGTTGGTGAGCTAAAGTCGCGTTGCTGGTCACGGTTACAATCTATTGCCTCGACTGGTTGAAGTGCATATTACAGTACATCACAGTTGTGGAGTTGCTCTCAAAGTTCCAGTGACGTGAAGCTGACAAAGGTTGACATCAAAGAAGGTTCCGTTGCCGGACTTGAACCCGTGCGAAGAGAATCAATCATCAACACTTGGTACAACGAGCGGTCTGGCAGACACAACAGTGCGTCATAACAGTCTACCACAACAGTCCGTCTCACCATGCAAAATCATTGGAACACGTACTTGTTCTCGCGCATAAGCGGATATGAACGAGCTATCGACAGATGAAAGAAGGAATTGGCCAATGTGGGATTCGAACCCACGCCCTTTCGGACCAGTGCCTAAAACTGGCGCCTTAGACCGCTCGGCCAATTGACCACCACACATAATCACAACCCCCACCTACATACAAAACGCAACACAAATCAGACCACACCACAATATCAAATATACGATCAACATACACAAACAGTACGCACACACAGCTACCCGTCTTGTTAATTTGCCTCTGCTATCATTTTGTTTCTGCTTGCGGTGACAGAAGTCGGGCTGATTGACGGACTATTATTGCCAGTGCTCGCGACATCACAGAAACGTCCCGATGCTGTAATCAAAGATCACTGACCGCGATAAAGCTCTCACATAACAAACATTGAAGCATTGTCGGAGGCCAACGCACATAAGCGATTGCTCGGACGTGACGATAGCGTATTGACCTCCATTTTCTCAACTCGTTGCGATCGAGCGAGTTGGTGAGCTAAAGTCGCGTTGCTGGTCACGGTTACAATCTATTGCCTCGACTGCGCTAGTTGAAGTGCATATTACAGTACATCACAGTTGTGGAGTTGCTCTCAAAGTTCCAGTGACGTGAAGCTGACAAAGGTTGACATCAAAGAAGGTTCCGTTGCCGGACTTGGACCCGTGCGAAGAGAATCAATCATCAACACTTGGTACAACGAGCGGTCTGGCAGACACAACAGTGCGTCATAACAGTCTACCACAACAGTCCGTCTCACCATGCAAAATCATTGGAACACGTACTTGTTCTCGCGCATAAGCGGATATGAACGAGCTATCGACAGATGAAAGAAGGAATTGGCCAATGTGGGATTCGAACCCACGCCCTTTCGGACCAGTGCCTAAAACTGGCGCCTTAGACCGCTCGGCCAATTGACCACCACACATGATCACAACCCCCCACCTACATACAAAGCGCAACACAAATCAGACCACACCACAATATCAAATATACGATCAACATACACAAACAGTACGCACACACAGCTACCCGTCTTGTCAATTTGCCTCTGCTATCATTTTTTTCTGCTTGCGGTGACAGAAGTCGGGCTGATTGACGGACTATTATTGCCAGTGCTCGCGACATCACAGAAACGTCCCGATGCTGTAATCAAAGATCACTGACCGCGATAAAGCTCTCACATAACAAACATTGAAGCATTGTCGGAGGCCAACGCACATAAGCGATTGCTCGGACGTGACGATAGCGTATTGACCTCCATTTTCTCAACTCGTTGCGATCGAGCGAGTTGGTGAGCTAAAGTCGCGTTGCTGGTCACGGTTACAATCTATTGCCTCGACTGGTTGAAGTGCATATTACAGTACATCACAGTTGTGGAGTTGCTCTCAAAGTTCCAGTGACGTGAAGCTGACAAAGGTTGACATCAAAGAAGGTTCCGTTGCCGGACTTGAACCCGTGCGAAGAGAATCAATCATCAACACTTGGTACAACGA